GTAGCCCTTCACCCTAGCATGCTACTGACCAAATATCATCTCCCTGGGCAGTTTGGTTATTGAGAAGAAGTTTTTTAAAGTTTTTAACATATTTGACCCCTGTGACCTTGAAAATAGATGAAGGTCATTTATTTGAACAAACTTGGTAGCCCTTCATCCCAGTTTGCTTCTGGCCAAATATCATCACCCTAGGCCTTTCGGTTATTAAGAAGAAGTCGTTTAAAGTAAAATATTGACGCCGGACGACGGACGGACGACGGACGGACGACGGACAGACGGACGGACGGACGACGGACGGACGACGGACGCTGCACCACGGCATAAGCTCACTTGGCACTTCGTGCCAGGTGAGCTAATAAATGCTCATTTTCGACAATTTAAGTGTTTGTTATTTTATCGACAAAAAACATAGCAGAGTATAACCTGTGTGTGCTGTTTGGTTTAATGCAGACTAAACACGATAATATAAATATTAAGTACATGAAAATCAAGTACAATGTATATGGAGGTAATTAGGTCAGAGTTAAAACACCTGTCATTGAAATTGTTCCAATTGCAGATTTTAAACACAAGATTGTTTAGTGTTCAAAATCTACTACATTGCCAGAATATACAGCCCCTGAAATAGAGGGTGCATTTGACATAGGGCAAAAGCATAGCACTATATAAATGGACGGACAAGAGTTGTTCATTTATGAAATAAGGTTGGACCTAGTAATCAGATGCTGCTCTCGGGCGAGCCTTGACAAAGCCTTTGTAGGCATGCATAAACACTCGCAGGTCAGTCAGGATTTCAACCTGAAAATTTTACATTTAAAAACAGACAAACCGGTTGTTCCGACTAAACCTACATTGCAGTATTTTTTTCTTCCGTACCAAACGTAAGAGCATCTCTCCCTTCATAATGTCCATGAAACGATGAAGAAAATTGAAGTCATCCCCTTGCAGTTTATATATGGCATTACAATGTAACTAATTTTTACCCCTGCAGTGCCAAATTCTCCCGTCCATCCCCTTGCAGTTTATATATGGCATTACAATGTAACTGATTTTTACCCCTGCAGTGCCGAATTCTCCCGTCCTTCACTAATTTGTCTCTAATTTAGCCGTTATTTCCATCAACCCCTGTAGTGTAGAATTCTCCCGTCCTTCACTGATTTGTCTCTCATTCAGCCGTTATTTCCATCAACCCCCTGCAGTGTAGAATTCTCCTGTCCTTCACTAATTTGTCTCTCATTCAGCCGTTATTTCCATCAATCCCTGTAGTGTAGATTTCTCCTGACTTTCAATAATTTGTGTCTCATTCAGCCGTTATTTCCATCAACCCCCTGCAGTGCAGAATTCTCCCGTCCTTCAATGATTTGTTTCTCATTTAGCCGTTATTTCCATCAATCCCTGTAGTGTAGAATTCTCCTGTCCTTCACTAATTTGTCTCTCATTCAGCCGTTATTTCCATCAATCCCTGTTGTGTAGATTTCTCCTGACCTTCAATGATTTGGGTCTCATTCAGCCGTTATTTCCATCAACCCCTGCAGTGTAGAATTATCCTGTCCTTCACTAATTTGCCTCTCATTTACCCGTTATTTCCATTAACCCATGTAGTCTAGAATTCTCCTGTCCTTCACTAATTTGCCACTCATTTAGCCGTTATTTCCATCAACCCCTGCAGTGTAGAATTCTCCTGTCCTTCACTAATTTGCCTCTCATTTAGCCGTTATTTCCATCAACCCCTGCAATGTAGAATTATCCTGTCCTTCACTAATTTGCCTCTCATTTAGCCGTTATTTCCATTAACCCATGTAATCTAGAATTCTCCTGTCCTTCACTAATTTGCAACTCATTTAGCCGTTATTTCCATTAACTCTGTAGTGTAGAATTCTCCTGTCCTTCAATGATTTGCCTCTAATTTAGCCGTTATTTCCATCAACCCCTGCAGTGTAGAATTCTCGTCCTTCACTAATTTGCCTCTCATTTAGCCGTTATTTTCATCAACCCCTGCAGTGTAGAATTATCCTGTCCTTCACTAATTTGCCTCTCATTTAGCCGTTATTTCCATTAACTCTGTAGTGTAGAATTCTCCTGTCCTTCACTAATTTGCATCTCATTTAGCCGTTATTTCCATTAACTCTGTAGTGTAGAATTCTCCTGTCCTTCACTAATTTGTCTCTCATTCACGCGTTATTTCCATCAATCTCTGCAGTGAAGATTTCTCCTGTCCTTCAATTATTTGTCTCTAATTTAGCCGTTATTTCCATCAATCCCTGCAGTGAAGATTTCTCCTGTCTTTCAATGATTTGTGTCTCATTTAGCTGTTATTTCAATCAACCCATGTAGTCTAGAATTCTCCTGTCCTTCACTGATTTGCCTCTCATTTAACCGTTCTTTCGATCAACCCCTGTAGTGTCGAATTATCCTGTCCTTCACTGATTTGCCTCTCATTTTGCCATTATTTCAATCAACCCCTGTAGTCTAGAATTCTCCTGTCCTTCACTAATTTGCCTCTCATTTAGCCGTTAGTTCCATTAACCCATGAAGTGTCAAATTCTCCTGTCCTTCACTGATTTGCTTCTCATTTAGCCGTTATTTCCATCAACCCCTGCATTGTAGAATTCTCCTGTCCTTCAATTATTTGCCTCTAATTTAGCCGCTAAACTTTGCAGGGTAGAATTCTCTCGTCTCTCACCAATTTGTCTTTCGTTTTCGCCGTTGATTCCTGTCAACCCTTGCAGTGTGACATCATAATGAAAACAACTGAGTGACAACACATATAACTAGATGATGTCGTAGAAAGCTAGACGTCAGTGCAGAAAAACATCCATTTTAGGGGCGGGAGAAAATAACCACTCCCTATTGATGACAAATGTCAGTCCTTGGACAAAGATTCTTGAATATTAAACCTGGCAAGCCTTGAGTTTACATATTGTGATTCAAGAATCTTACCCTTAAGGAAGACAAAGATGATGTCCATCTAAAATAGCCATGTGTCTACACACGGACATTTTAAACTGTTTAAAACACAGCAATGGTTCGGTTCACTCTTTTAAAAATCTAAAATTTAATCCTGAGGGTTGACATTTCCTTTGTATTATTCATGAATGATAATTGTTCTACTTTCAGAACTTTCAGACATAGAAATAATTCTCACAAAAAATCTTCAATTCTTGTCTTTAATAATTTTGTTGTTCACCAATATTGTAAATTGTTTCAAATCATTTGTTAAATTGCATGTTTATGTTAAAATAAACATTCAGCTGATTTTCCTGTGTTTGTCATTTTATCGGCTCACTTGGTCAAAAGGTGAGCTTATGCTTCACTCTTCCATCTGTCTGTTGTCTGTCCAATAATTTCTTAAAACAATCTCTTCTTCTTAACCACTGATTGGAATTTGACTCGAAGAATCCCCAAGTGGTACAAAGGGAGGGGCTGACCCCCAAGGCGGGTTAAAAAATTGTTATTTTCCATATTGTTTAAAGTGCCTTTTTTCTCTGGAACCAAGTGATGGATATCAACCATATTTGATTGAAAGCATTCTGAGTTGGTAAGGATTCAAAACTTTACAAATGGATGGGCTGACCCAACCCCTAAGGACAATAATTTTGAAATGGTTGAAATCCCCTTGATAGGCATCAAGATATAAACACAGTCATGATATTGAGTTTGACACTTGGGACTGGCCCCACCCCTGAAGAATTAAGTTTTAGACCGTAAGTTTGAAATGGTTGTGATCTCCAACCAATGACCACATATACCACTGCTTGGCATACAGATCTAGGTGAGCGTTACAGGCCCTCTGGGCCTCTTGTTTCATTGACTCACTAGTGACTGTAAGATACTCATGGTCTGTTGAGAACAAGGTAAGGTCAAGGGTCAAGATTATAATGTCACGCAACTTGTACACAAAAAGGTGCATTGGAATGTTAAGGTGTTTAGCCCTTAAACTAACTGACTAAAATGCAAAAAGGTAAGGTAAATTGTGAAAGTTACAATGATGTAAAACATGCTGTTTTAACAAGGCAAAAGGGTAATTGAAGTTAATGACCGTAGCTGTATTAAGGTCCATGACTGACTATAACCAGTTGTATGACTCATTCACCCCTGAAATTTCATAATGAACTATTCCAACCATTGAATTTGCAGAGTTTAAATGTATTATCAGGGATGAATGTGTAAATACCCAGTACCACCTCATGGTGAAGTGTTAAATGATTTTGATGACAATACATGACATTTATACAAAGAAAACGAAAAAAACAATAAGCATTTTGATTTTATTTATAAAACAACAACTTATTAATTCTCCAAAAATATACATCTGTACACAAATATCACCAATTTAAATAGAATATAGGTTTATAATAGGCATATGACTACAGTTTTAAACACTTAGTTTGGAATTGAGCACAGTTACTGACAGAACTAAATATACCGCGATGTTACAATAATTTCACAGTTAAAGTAGGGGCAGGAAGTCAAGAAAGAAATTCTCCAATAATTTTCTCCTGTATATCACAGTGTTTCAGGGGGGAAGCAGATGACTTCAAACGTAATTGTTTGATATACATTTCCAACGTGATCCTAAATCAAAGTGTTTAAGCAATATGCCACAGGTCGACACTTTACATACTGTTTGGAATAATGGATACCATGGCAGCATGTATTAAGGAAAACTGTCAAAAATGTTTCCAGAAAGCTTTCAGTTCATAGTGAACAGTTTTCTTTCATAGAACAATTATAAAATGAGATATGTTTCTAGGGAATATGAAATAAACAAATATTGAAGTAAATAAAGCAATGGTGTTGTTTTGCCAGGCAAACAAACCAGTTATTTGCTAATGTTTGTTTACAAAATTTGTATTCTGAAATTTAACCCTTTCACCCCTATGTAACATTAGTAGACTCTATCATGCAATGATCTGGATGAGTCCATTATGGTCTACAGTGTTGAAAGGGTTAACGTAAAGGGTACAACAATATATTTGATTATGAACGTTTTCAAAACAAATATTTCATAAAAATCATATGATGCCATGCATTCATTTGACATAATTATAGTTGTTCAAAACTTGAATGTTTGAAACTAGAAATAAAAATAAAAACTGAACTGCGGGGCGGGATTTATAATGGTAACCTTTACATTAGCCAATACTTAATTAATTTTGCTAGAAAGGAATTATACTAGCACAGATGTTATACTAGATGGACTAAAAAGCATATATAAAACTTGATAGGAAGAAGCAACTGTAAGCCATATAAGCTGCTTTAAGTTGCTTCATCTTCTAAATAGACTTAATGGCCTAATATCATCATCCTGGGCCTTCTGGTTATTTAGAAGAAGTTGTTTGAAGATAATTCTTTTTAATTTGGTCCGAGTGACCTTGAAAATTTGTCAAGGTCGATCATTTAAGCATACTTTGTAGCCCTTCATCAAAGATTGTCAAATACCATCACCATAGGCCTTTTGGCTATTGAGAAAAAGATGTTTAAAAGCAAGGAACTAAATATACTTTATTAGGGTTTAAGAACAAATTTTAACCTACTTTACTGGATTTTTTTCCAGATTTGTTCAAAAAGTTAATTTAGGCATTTTAACCCTTTATACCATTACCAAGAAATAATCTGAAAACATTTACATAACAGTCATAGCGTTGTACACAAACAACAAACAGGATTTTACATAATAACAAAGACTCTTTCAAATTTATTTTTTTATAAAATACTACACAACCTCCTATATCAAACGACATTAGTGTATGTTGCATTTGTAACTTAAACTATATGCTATGATTCTGTCAAATTGATTTCATTGCAGTTTTGTATCTGATATGATAAAATTATTAAACATTTAAAATAATGACAGCTCACCAGTCAGATCACCTGTGTACCAGATCCTACAGAGCAACCGTCATAGCTCTTATTCTGATGGTATTGTCATCGTATAGTGTTGAAAAACGGGATTCCTCGGGTACAACAGGTCCATGCAGTTGCAGGGTGGAAATTTAAAAAAGAAACATGAGAAAGCTAACAATGCACTGATCATTAGAGTCGTACAGGTAAATGTACTCTGAAAGATAACCCTAGGTTATCATTTCAACAAGAGTTCCATAAGGCGGAACAATATACACCCATCCAATGTCAATCTGACCTACTCAAAATACTTCTGATGCATTATTGTATCTAAATGAAGGAAATATATGGAAAAAAACAACATTTATACTTAACTCAGTAAAATTGAGAAGTATTCGTTGAATGTAGTGAAAGGAATAAACATACCTTTATCAAATTAAACTGAAGGAATATGAACTTTTCATAAATCCTTTATTATCTTCGAAAAATATAATTTGAAATTTTCTGTCTTCTGTATTAAATAAAATGTTGATGCCCTTAAGGTGTTTAAACTCGTGTCATTTATGATATAAATAAATGTATGGTAACAATATCAGGGGTAAATGGAGTGAACGTGCCTACTCCAGATGATTGTCGATCGTCTTTGATTTTGAGAGACACTGTAAAGTTAGACTACTCTGGGCCAACATCACATTCAGTAGTAATGTTCTGGAACGTTTTATTAAAACACGACCTATTTCCTCATAACTCAATATCACAGGAAATGTGAGGAGTCATTTCTGAATCGACACCCCAAGTCAAGGTCACCTCTTGATCAAAACACTGAGTCAATTGTTCGTCACCGGAACAGACAATATTTGTCAAAAACGTGTTGATACTTGCGTCACATATGATCACTGAGTCCTGAATCAACACGTAAAAAGACAGGACGTCAATCTTCTCTCCGCTTTCCTCTGGTCACATACCGAGATGAGGAGCAGCTAATCACGCCTCATCTGAAACAAACGGCTGGAAATAAGTGTCTACGTATTAAACAACAAGAGGCCCAATGGGTCTGTATCACTGGCCAAAGTCACTGATAAATACATGTTTCTTGTGTGACCTTCAGATCAGGTCAAATTTGAATTTATTTAAACTTGGCAATAAACAAGCTTTAACACTACATGTTTAAAAGGTTCTAAAATACAAATCTTCTGTTAATTTAAATTGTTGGTCAAGGTCATTGATGGGAACAAACTTGATTACACTTCATCAATGTTCCCTTCTTAATTTGCAGTATACAATAAACTTTTGGAGCATTCTGAAGTAGTTTAAATGTTATTTACATACGACATACTGTATTTAACACGTGACCTTGAATGTGGGTCAAGGTTATTTTTGGTAACACACTAAATAATCCTTCATCCAATTATTGTACAGTTAATTTCACGATCTTTAGACTACTGGTTTGTTTAAGGATTTTAACATATTTCAACCCTGTAACCTTATAAAGTTGGTCAATGCCATTTACTTGATTAAAATATGATATCATTTAATCCCAGCATGCTACAAATTCAATATTGTCCTCAGCCTCTTAGTTATTCAGAACAAGTTTGTTGTTAAAACAAGAGGCCCAGGGGCTTTAATAGCTCACCTTGTATTTTATTTTTCAATTTAAAACCTGCTGAGTACCATTCAGATTTATCAAAGGAGTACAAGAAACAAAGTTGCAAGAAGAACTACATATAAAACTGTTTTGGTGGGAAAGACACCAAGAAAATGAGTTTCCATGTTATGTCCCAATTTTTCTCTATTTCCCCTATTGGGCCTCACATGCATCTTTTTATACAAATTAAACAAATTGATTTTTTCCCCCTAAGCATGCTTCAGACCATGTTTGGTTTAAATCCCTTCATTTGTACAGAAGGGAAAATATTTTTCTCTATTTCCCTATTGGGCCCTGCTCCTCTTCTGCCTGGTTGGGGGGGGAGGGAGCACATCTTCCATTTATGAATATTCAATTCCCTTTGCCCAAAGAATCTCTAGAACAAGTTTGGTTGGTTTGGGGTCCACACACCTCAGTTTAAACAAAATTGATTCTTTTGTCCCTAAGCATGTTTCAGACTGCATTTGGTTTAAATCCCTTCACTTATATAGTAGGAAAAAAAAAATCCTCTATTTCCCCTATTGGGCCCCGTTCCTATGCCCCAAGAGGGCCCACACCCTCCGTTTATACAAAAATGAGGCTCCTTTATCAAAAGATGCTCTAGAACAAATTTGGTCAAAATCCTTCAATTGGTTGAGAAGAAGAAGATTTTAAAGATTTACCTATTTTCCCCCTTTTTGACCCTGCCCCTCTGCCCCCAGCAGGACCATACCCTCAGTGTATACAAAACTGAGAACCCTTTGGCCGATGATGCTCCAGACCAAATTTGGTCAAAATCCTCTGAGCAGTTCAGGACTAGTAGCGTTTTAAGTTGACGGACGACAGACGCCCAACACCAGACGCCGGACGCCGGACGCTGCGGCATGGCATAAGGTCACTTGGCCCTTGAATCACATTCGGCCAAGGTGACATTGAAAAGGGATAATTTGAACAGACTTAGCTATTCATAAGTGGATCCACATATAGGAATGTTTTATTATTCAAATACACAGGTGCATCTACCCACAGTACAAGTATGTCTTATTACCCAATCCACAGGTGTATCTACCTACAGTACAAGTATGTCTTATTGCCCAATACACAGGTGTATCTACCCACAGTACAAGCATGTCTTATTACGCAATACACAGGTGTATCTACCTACAGTACAAGTATGTCTTATTACCCAATACAGAGGTATATCTACCCATAAGTATGTTTTATTACCCAATACACAGGTATATCTGCCCACAGTACATGTATATATTATTACCCAATACACAGGTATACCTACCCACAGTACAGGTATGTCTTATTAACCAATAAAAGGGTGTAACTTCACAAAGTACAGGTATGTCTTATTACCCAATAGTATCTACCCACAGTACAAGCATGTCTTATTACCCAATACACAGGTATATCTACCCATAGTACAGGTATGTTTTATTACCCAATACATAGGTATACTACCTACAGTACAGGTTTGTCTTATTACCCAATACACAGGTATATCTACCCACAGTACATGTATGTCTTATTACCCAAAACACAGGTATATCTACTTACAGTACAGGTATGTCTTATTACCCAATACACAGGTATATCTACCTACAGTACAGGTTTGTCTTATAACACAATACACAGGTATATCTACCCACAGTACGGGTATGTTTTATTAGCCAATACACAGGTATATCTACCCACAGTACATGTATGTCTTCTTACCCAATACACAGGTATATCTACCTTCAGTACCGATATGTCTTATTCCCCAATACACAGGTATATCTACCCATAGTACAGGTGTGTCTTATTACCCAATACATAGGTATATCTACCTACAGTACAGGTATGTCTTATTACCCAATACCCATTTATATATCTACCTACAGTACAGGTATGTCTTATTACCCAATACCCATTTATATATCTACCTACAGTACAGGTATGTCTTATTACCCAATACATAGGTATATCTACCTACAGTACAGGTATGTCTTATTACCCAATACCCATTTATATATCTACCTACAGTACAGGTATGTCTTATTACCCAATACCCATTTATATATCTACCTACAGTACAGGTATGTCTTATTACCCAATACCCATTTATATATCTACCTACAGTACAGGTATGTCTTATTACCCAATACATAGGTATATCTACCTACAGTACAGGTATGTCTTATTACCCAATACCCATTTATATATCTACCTACAGTACAGGTATGTCTTATTACCCAATACCCATTTATATATCTACCTACAGTACAGGTATGTCTTATTACCCAATACCCATTTATATATCTACCTACAGTACAGGTATGTCTTATTACCCAATACAGAGGTATATCTACCCACAGTACAGGTATGTCTTCTTACCCAATACACAGGTATATCTACCTTCAGTACCGATATGTCTTATTACCCAATACACAGGTATATCTACCCATAGTACAGGTATGTCTTATTACCCAATACATAGGTATATCTACCTACAGTACAGGTATGTCTTATTACCCAATACACAGGTATATCTACCTACAGTACAAGTATGTCTTATTACCCAATACACAGGTATATCTACCCACAGTACAGGTATGTCTTATTACCAATACACAAGTGTATCTACCCATAGTACAGGTATGTCTTATTACCCAATACACAGGTATATCTACCTACAGTACAGGTGTGTCTTATAACACAATACACAGGTATACCTACCCACAGTACAGGTACATCTACCCACAGTACAGGTATGTCTTATTACCAATACACAAGTGTATCTACCCATAGTACAGGTATGTCTTATTACCCAATACACGGGTTTAACTTCCCAAAGTACAGGTATGTCTTATTACCCAATACACAGGTATATCTATCCACAGTACTGGTATGTCTTATTACCCAATACACAGGTATATATACCCACAGTACAGGTATTTCTTATTAACCAATACACAGGTGTATCTCCCCACAGTACAGGTATGTTTTAATACCCAATACACACGTGTATCTACCCATCTTATTACCCAATACACAGGTGTATCTACCCAAAGTACAGGTATGTCTTTTTACCCAATACACAGGTATATCTACCCACAGTACAGGTATTTCTTATTAACCAATACACAGGTGTATCTACCCACAGTACAGGTATGTTTTAATACCCAATACACAGGTGTATCTACCCATCTTATTACCCAATACACAGGTGTATCTACCCAAAGTACAGGTATGTCTTTTTACCCAATACACAGGTATATCTACCCACAGTACAGGTATGTTTTATTACCCAATACACAGATGTATCTACCGGAAGTACAAGTATGTCTTATTACCCAATACACAGGTATATCTACCCACAGTACAGTTATGTTTTATTACCCGATACACAGGTATATCTACCTACAGTACATGTATGTCCTATTACCAGATACACAGGTATATCTACCTACAGTACAGGTACTTCCTATTACCAGATATACAGGTATATCTACCCATAGTACAGGTATGTCTTATAACCCAATACACAGGTATATCTACCTACAGTACAGGCATGTCTTATTACCCAATACAGATGTGTATCTTCCCAAAGTACATGTATGTCCTATTACCAGCAGTACAGGTATTTCTTATTAACCAATACACAGGTGTATCTACCCACAGTACAGGGATGTCATATTACCCAATACACAGGTATATCTACCTACAGTATAGGTATGTCATATTACCCAATACACAGGTATATCTACCTACAGTACATGTATGTCCTATTACCAGATATACAGGTATATCTACCCATAGTACAGGTATGTCTTATAACCCAATACACAGGTATATCTACCTACAGTACATGTATGTCCTCTTACCAGATACACAGGTATATCTACCTACAGTACATGTATGTCCTCTTACCAGATACACAGGTATATCTACCTACAGTACAGGCATGTCTTATTACCCAATACACAGGTATATCTTCCCACAGTACAGGTATGTCTTATTACCCAATACACACGTATATCTACCCACAGTACAGGTATGTTTTATAACCCAATACAGAGGTATATATACCCACAGTACAGGTATGTCTTATTAACCAATACACAGGTATATCTACCTACAGTACAGGCATGTCTTATTACCCAATACAGATGAGTATCTACCCAAAGTACATGTATGTCCTATTACCAGATACACAGGTATATTTACCTACAGTACAGGTACTTCCTATTACCTATATCTACCCACAGTACATGTATGTCTTATTACCCAAAACACAGGTATATCTACTTAAAGTACAGGTATGTCTTATTACCCAATACCTACAGTACATGTATGTCCTATTACCAGATCCACAGGTATATCTACCTACAGTACAGGCATGTCTTATTACCCAATACACAGGTATATCTACCCAAAGTACAGGTATGTTTTATTCCCCAATACAGAGGTATATCTACCCATAATACAGGTATGTCTTATTACCCAATACACAGGTTTATCTACCCACAGTACAGGTATTTCTTATTAACCAATACACAGGTGTATCTACCCACAGTACAGGGATGTCATATTACCCAATACACAGGTATATCTACCCACAGTTCATGTATGGCTTATTACCCAATACACAGGTATATCTGCCTACAGTACAGGTATGTCTTATTACCCAACACACAGGTATATCTACCTACAGTACAGGCATGTCTTATTACCCAATACACAGGTATATCTACCCAAAGTACAGGTATGTTTTATTCCCCAATACACAGGTATATCTACCTACAGTATAGGTATGTCATATTACCCAATACACAGGTATATCTACCTACAGTACATGTATGTCCTCTTACCAGATACACAGGTATATCTACCTACAGTACATGTATGTCCTCTTACCAGATACACAGGTATATCTACCTACAGTACATGTATGTCCTATTACCAGATATACAGGTATATCTACCCATAGTACAGGTATGTCTTATTACCCAATACAGGTATGTCTTCTTACCCAATACACAGGTATATCTACCTACAGTATAGGTATGTCATATTACCCAATACACAGGTATATCTACCTTCAGTATAGGTATGTCATATTACCCAATACACAGGTATATCTACCTTCAGTATAGGTATGTCATATTACCCAATACACAGGTATATCTACCTACAGTACATGTATGTCCTATTACCAGATCCACAGGTATATCTACCTACAGTACAGGCATGTCTTATTACCCAATACAGATGAGTATCTACCCAAAGTACATGTATGTCCTATTTCTACTTAAAGTACAGGTATGTCTTATTACCCAATACCTACAGTACATGTATGTCCTATTACCAGATACACAGGTATGTCTACCCACAGTACAGGTATGTTTTACAACCCAATACACAGGTATATCTACCCACAGTCCAGGTATGTCTTATTACCCAATACAGATATGTATCTACCCAAAGTACATGTATGTCCTATTTCCAGATACACAGGTGTATCTACCCACAGTACAGGTATGTTTTACAACCCAATACACAGGTATATCTACCCATAGTACCGGTATGTCTTATTACCCAATACACAGGCTACCCATAATACAGGTATGTCTTATTACCCAATACACAGGTATATCTACCTACAGTACAGGTATGTCTTATTACCCAATACAGATGTGTATCTACCCAAAGTACATGTATGTCCTATTACCAGATACACAGGTATATCTACCCACAGTACAGGTATGTTTTACAACCCAATACACAGGTATATCTACCCATAGTACAGGTATGTCTTATTCCCCAATACACAGGTGTATCTTCCCATAGTACAGGTATGTCTTATTCCCCAATACACAGGTGTATCTTCCCATAGTACAGGTATGTCTTATTACCCAATACACAGGTATATCTACCTACAGTACAGGTATGTCTTATTACCCAATACACAGGTGTATCTATCTACAGTACATGTATAAATTATTACCCGATATTTACTCACAGTACAGGTATAACATTATCACATAAAGATCATACAATATGTGTCCGATAACAGACTCTGTATTTAACTTCTACAGATGCAATCACAATCTACACTGACCTACTACACAATCTATGTCTTTATCACTGTATAACTGTCCGATATAAACAGGTAGATCTATGCATTGCCGCAGGTGGGCGTATCCAGGGCAGAATTGTTTTCTATATTACGTACCATTCAGCCAGAATTTTGAATTTCTGATCAAAACCTTTACAATGTAATCAAGTAAGTGACATATTTATCAACAGAGCAAGAGGGAAGTACATCATGTGATTCATCTAGGGCTGGACATTCTGAGTGTGGAACGGAAAGCCTGGATACATCATCGCAGTAATCTTGTGACATCATGAATCATGAGGTAGTAATTATATAATGTTTTTACATTACTAAATGTTTAACAAACATACACTACTGGATGAGGCAGTAGAGCCAAGTTTTCGTTTCTTTTCATCAAGTCTTATTTGTGAGTGTTAACTGATAACTAATCATTTAGCATTTCATCAAAATGGCAACCCCTGAAAGTCAAATTTCTCTCCGTATTAAAGGTCAAACGACATGTGTTCACCACAAGGGGAGAGAACTGGATTTGTATTGTGAAAAATGTGAGGAACCCATCTGTCCAAAATGTCTTTCGTCTGTACACAAAGGCCATCTCGTTTGTGAGCTAAGTGAAATCACTCCCCAGAAAGAACCAGACATTAAAAACTTTATAGACAGAACAGAAAAGAAAGACCTTGTGCAAATTGGGAAATTCATTTCCTCTACTGATACACTCCTTAACGACAACACCAGTACTTTTGAGAAGCTGTCACAAAGGTTAAAAATACAAACAGATAAATTAAAACAAGAGCTGGACATGCTTACAGAACAGACACTCTCTCTTTACCACAAAATGGAAGAGGATAATACCAAGCTGATAAATAAATACAAACAGGACCTGGAGATGTACGAGAAGCAACTCAAACAACAACTTCAGGAATGTAAAGCAGCTCTCCAGCGTGATTCACACATACAGATTTATGATACATTTTGTGAGATCCATTCTCCTACACACAGTCTCCCTGTAAAACCTGTCCTGGGTACTGCCAACTTCATTCCAAATGGAAATCCTCAAGATCACTTAAAAGAAGCCTTGGGAAAAGTGATCACCTCAGGTCAAGGTCAAACTTCAACTGACCAGGATCGGTCAGTCTCAACATCTGATGATCTGGGACAACCCTCTACACAACAACAACGGTCAGGAACAAAAGTGCAGAAAGCAGTGACAACATACAAACTACTGCCACAGACCAATGTAGTGGAGGAGTGGTGGTCTTCATGTGACATTGGTTCTATATGTCCCACCACTGATGGTGAGGTGTGGACCAAGTACATGGACACATTGACTCTCCTGGACAGGAAGGGTAAAGTAAAACAGCAGGTCTATAACAGTGTCAGGATAAGTGACATCAGTCTGTCACCAACCACACACACACTGTGGGTCTGTGATTATAATAACAACATCATGGAGCTGGTATCAGGACGACTGACACACAGATTCAGTACCAAGGAGTTTCCCTTGTGTATATGTATTACAGCCAGTAACCATGTCATTGTAGGGATGTACAGACACATCTCCAAATTTACCACAGATGGCAACATGGTGTGTACTACTATGGCTAAAGGGACTGGTAAACCATTAGTGTGTTCACCACGCAGGATCTCAGAGAGTCCTGTCACTCACAATGTGGCAGTCGCTGATTTCAGTCGTGAAAGTGATGGTGGTGATGGAAAACGACATGTTGTTGTGATGGACACTGATTTCAAGGAGTTGTTTGTATATAGAGGTGACATCCCCAGTACATATACACCAACACCACAAACAGGAGGTAAACCATTTAACCCTTGGGGTGTGGTGTATGACAGTGTGGGGAACCTGATCATAGGGGACCGTGACAACAAAAGGGTCCTACTCATCAGTGGAGGTGGTGAGTTCCTCAGGGTCATACACACAGACAAAGGCTATACATGGGCTGTAGGTGTAGACAGGGAGGATGTCCTGTGGTCAGTGTTTGATATATGGGGTATCAGCATAGTCAAATTACTACAGTACAATAGTATGTGACACCTGTAACCAAACAACTAGTGTATCTAGTTACCATGACAATGACATGGAAATCAGAGACAAAAGAAAACTTATCATTATTACAAATCAACTACAGATTGGGTGACAATCACAGGACTATCAGTAAAACGTCTAAACTACAGATTGTGTGACATTCATGGGATTATCAGTAAAACGTCTAGACTACAGATTGTGTGACATTCACAGAATTACAAGTAAAACGTCTAGACTACAAATTGTGTGACATTAACAGAATTATAAGTAAAATGTCTAGACTACAGATTGTGTGACATTCACAGGATTATAAGTAAAATGTCTAGCCTACAGATTGTGTGGCATTCACAGGATTACAAGTAAAATATCTAGACTACAGATTGTGTGATATTCACAGGATTACAAGTAAAATATATAGACCACAGATTGTGTGACATTCACAGGATTACAAGTAAAATATCCAGACTACAGATTGTGTGACATTCACAGGATTACAAGTAAAATATATAGACTACAGATTGTGGGACATTCACAGGATTACAAGTAAAATATCCAGACTACAGATTGTGTAACATTCACAGGATTACAAGTAAAATATATAGACTACAGATTGTGTGACATTCACAGGATTACAAGTAAAATATCCAGACTACAGATTGTGTGACATTCACAGGACTACAAGTAAAATATATAGACTACAGATTGTGTGACATTCACAGGATTACAAGTAAAATATCCAGACTACAGATTGTGTGATATTCACAGGATTACAATATCTAGACTAGTGGAGCAATGTGGTTTATTATGTTACTCTATACAATTTACCTGGATATAGATGGTACATATTATCATCTAGTTAAACATACCTGATAGATACAGGCCAAATGTTATTATTTAAGCTATGGAATCTTCAGAAAATAAGCGCCCATATCAATCTGACATACTTTAAATCCTGTCGACGTATTATTGTATCTAAATGTACGGAAATAAGGAAATGTAAGGAGAAGAAACAACTTTGTATTGTATAACTCAGTGAGGTTAAAAACTATTCCTGGAATGTGGTGAAAGGAGAAAACATATTGAACTTGACCAACTCAAGTGGACCTTAAACAATTTAGAAAGATTTTGAAATGTAATCCCATTACCTCCCTTTGGGCCCTAATTTTAGGATTCGTACAGATTTCAAACCATGAAAATAGAAAGTTGAAATGGCCCCTTTGTGTCAATAATCAACTACTGTAATCTTAACACCATTAACACAAAAGCTATTTCTAATTGTTTATTAATTACTGGCAGATTTCACTATTAGACAAAGTGTACATATGGACAAATTCCCAACATATTTGACTAAGTAAATGTAGAAACCGTCAACCGATGCGATAGCTGTATGCTATCAAATGATATCTTTAGTTTAATTCCATCATTTTTAAATCGAAAAGGAGATAGCTGTGATTGTGAAAATGTCGTCCTCTTCAAAAACTTCCACTTTATTTTGAAGGAAAAAACTTGCAACCGAATGAGTGTCAAATAATAATAACATCTATCTATACAATTTCAATATAAGCCACAGTGTGTAATGTGTTTAATATGTTTTGTGATAAGTGTTTTCGGTTAATTTGTGTTTGTTTGTTTCTTACTTGTGGTTGAAATTCCACAATCAATGATGAACTCAACGTAAATGTGATAACGGTTTGATCCATATGGTTTATGATTCAGTTATATTGTGTTTTCAAAACACATTCTCCTGAAATTAAGGATCATTTTTAGGAAAATTAATAAAAAAAAAATCAGTGACAATACATTGTTCATTGTATTGTGATCATCCGATAATATATTCTTTCTGTATTGCAAAAAAAAAAAGTTCAAATTTCTTCAGGATATTTCTATTTAAAATAAAGTTACTTGCCTATTTTCTATAGCAGAGAGTTGTTATTTTATATTTCCTCCCCCCACCCCCCGATAAAATCACATCTGCCATGGTGATAAGATCTGTTGATTATAAAACCTTTGCACCACCCAAGATTTGTTATATTGATTCATTTTCCACAATTACTGGGACTAATTTTGAATTGTTCTAAATCCCTCAAAAGCTTGCAGCCTGTAATTGTATCTGTACAATATAGAGAAAATAACATCAACTAAATGGGAAAATAACTTCACAGAGCCTGTATACAGATGATTGTAAGAGAATGCCAAAATCTTCCATCGCTATACTGTTGCTGAAGTAGTGCTTGAGGCACGGCAGTCTAGTGGTAGGACGCCGGGCTCGTGACCGAAGGGTTGCGGGTTCGAGTCACAGCACGGCACTGTGTTGTATCCTTGAGCAAAACACTTTACTCCGCTTGTTCCAGTCTACTCAGCTGTAAATGAGTATGTGGTTGGGTAGTGCTAGAATTGTTGAATTCTAGCTGTGTGGTCCAAAATGGCAGCACAGGCTGTATGCATATGCTCCCCAGGAAGTTGAGAAAGATATTGGCTGGTTGCAAAGACCCTATAACCATGGATAATAATTTGTTAACCGCTTTGGTACTACCTACGAACTAGGTTGTGATACAGTGGTATATAAGAACCTCAAATCATTTTAATATTATTATTATTATTAGTGCCTGAAAAGTGCAAAAAAAAATAAGTGATCCACTTATAAAAGCCACAAAGTATGAACTACACATGTACTGGTGATGTTAAAGATCCCATCTAAAGTTTGTACTTAACGAGGAAGTTGTGTTCCGGAGAAATGGTATCTCACATGTTTTGCACATTTACTTGAGGTCAAAGGTGAAAATGTAGGACAACATGACTTTTTGTGACATTTTTTCCTTTTCAAAGTGTACAAGGATGCTACGTGTAATGATCCCAGGTGAAAAAATGAGATACTTTTCTGACAAGAGGTATCTTATGTTTTACACTTACAACTGAGGTCAAAGGTCAAAATGTAGGACAACATGAACTGTTTGGCCCCACTTTGCTTTCCTGTGATGTACATAAACCAGCATACCAAGTGTGGTTGCTCCAGATGTAAAAATGAAGGGGTGTGTTCTGGAAAAAGCCTGGGACAGACAGACACTAAACATAACCATATCCCAACCCTTGCTGTGGTGGGGGATACAAATTGTGGGGCTCTCTACCTTAAATAAACAAAAGGCTCAGAGGGCCTGTACCACTCACCTGGATATTTGAGCAATCATTGGAAAAAATTCTCAATAAAAGTAATTTTGCAAATATTTCCATATATCAAGTTTCCTTGGCTTAAGAATGTTCCAGACTAAATGAAACTTTATACTACTCTATCACAGTATGCTACTGGTCAAATATCATCACCTAGGGCCGCCTGGTAATGCAAAAGAAGTTGTTCCAAGATTTTTAAATATTTGACCCCTTTCACCTTGAAAGTAGATCAAGTTTTTTTTATTTAGGGAAAGTTAATAGCACTCCATCCTAGGTACCTACTCAGTACTGGCCAAGTTCATGACGCTAGGTTCTCAAGTTTTTAAGAAGTCGTTCAAAGAGAAAAGTTGACGGACAACAGACATGCTAGGTAAGCTAAATACTTACCAATTTATCATGAAATATCAGAAGAACTACCGTACCTGTTCTGTATCAGCTCTGTGTTGCTGGTGTGCCTCAACTATTACCACGACTGTTCCTGGACGTGTTGGGGGTGGAGGAATTAGCCACATTAGATGTGGACTCGCTCATCACTGTTCTCGAGTTGGTCACGGTTGTCTGGTCTCGGGTTGGAATTAGAGGGATCTCAACTTTATATACCTCCACAAGTTCCTTTTTGAGAACAGAAACAATTAAAAGATAAATCAATTTAAACAGGAGCAGCAACATTTATATATCAATAACAAAATTGTTTTGAAGGAAAAATGATCACCCGCATGGGAAATATATTTTATTTATAGTGAGGTCATGTGATGTACATATCCAATAAAATCAAATGAGTTGATCATCATGTATTACCAATATGATAAATATGAAGGAAACGATATACGTTTCTGTAAACTAAATAAAACTAACCTTCCACTCTGCTGGTGTGATGGACAAGATGGCTTGATGTTTGGACATCTTGTCAAATGTCTCTGCATTTCTCTCCTCATCACTGATTGGCTCTAAACAAATGCAAAATACAGGGATTAATGCAGGAATGGAAATAAGGGGAAATATTTGATGCAGGTGCATGACCAGTGTTCAGCAAGGGCTGCAGGCCAGAGCCAGGGGGAGAGTACGAGACGAGGGCATGACCAGTGTTCAACGAAGGCTGCAGGCCAGAGCCAGGGGGGAGAGTACCAGAGTGGGGCATGATCAGTGTTCAGCGAGGGCTGCAGGCTGGAGCAAGGGGGAGAGTACCAGAGGGGGGCACGACCATTGTTCAGCGTGGATTACAGGCTGGGGGCTTGGGGGGAGTACGAGGGGGGGGCATGACCAGTGTTCAGCAAGGGCTGCAGGCCAGAGCAAGGGGAAGAGTATGAGAGGGGGGCATGACCAGTGTTCAGCGAGGGCTGCAGGCTGGAGCCAGGGGGAGAGTACCAGAGGGGGGCATGACCATTGTTCAGCGTGGGCTACAGGCTGGAGTCTTGGGGAGAGTACGAGAGGGGGGCATGACCAGTGTTCAGCGAGGGCTGCAGGCTGGAGCCAGGGGGAGAGTACCAGAGGGGGGCACGACCATTGTTCAGCGTGGATTACAGGCTGGGGGCTTGGGGGGAGTACGAGGGGGGGGCATGACCAGTGTTCAGCAAGGGCTGCAGGCCAGAGCAAGGGGAATAGTACGAGAGGGGGGCATGACCAGGGTTCAGCGAGGGCTGCAGGCTGGAGTCAGGGGGAGAGTACGAGAGGGGGGCATGACAAGTGTTCAGCAAGGGCTGCAGGCCAGAGCAAGGGGGAGAGTACGAGAGGGGGGCATGACCGGTGTTCAGCGAGGGCTGCAGGCCCGAGCCATGGGGAGAGTACGAGATTGGGCATGTCCATTGTTCAGCGAGGGCTACAGGCTGGAATCTTGGGGAGAGTACGGGAGGGGGGCATGACCAGTGTTCAGCGGGGGCTGCAGGCTGGAGCCAGGGGAATAGTACGAGAGGGGGGCATGACCAGGGTTCAGCGAGGGCTGCAGGCTGGAGTCAGGGGAAGAGTATGAGAGGGGGGCATGACCAGTGTTCTGCAAGAGCTACAGGCCAGAGCCAGGGGGGGAGTACCAGAGTGGGGCATGGATGACATCTTTAATTTTTGTTTCTCGCTGTTCATTATAGATGCTTAGAATTGACCACCGGATATACATTAGAATAAAGCGTTTGTGTGACTGTTTAGATATTGTATACCGTAAACAAGGCTGGCTGTAAACAGTGTCGTAAAATATCAGCAGTGACCATTAACATGAACACGAGGAAAATGAAAGAAATCACTCAGTCGAGGAACTAACAGAAATTAACAACAAAATGGAACCAAGACAGATATTCATGTGGTAGTATTTTAGTTACAAGTAGGGGGATTTTTAACTGAGATAAGGGAAAATAAAGCTTAAATAGGAGGAAATATTGCAGAAATTGGAGAGGGGAATTGACCCATATCCTGCCACAAAAAAGGCCTGTATATATCCATAAATACGCTTTCTCGAACTCGTAGGGTCAAGATAACTAGTTCCAGGAATACATGGTATTTGTTGAATCCGAGGTTCGACGGACGTCATAATTTTTGTTATCAGGTGAAACAAACGGACAGCACGGGCACTGCAACTATCGGGGATAGTAGATGATAGAAGAAAAAAGAAGTTCAATCAAGATGACAGCATTCAATAAGATTAAAAATAGCTAAACAATGAAAACATATAGCCACCACTATTAAGATAAAATTAAAAAGCTGTATCAGTAACCTACTTATCGTCTTGACATAGTCTGCCATACTGTAATCAGCTATGTTAATTTTACAACTTATCAAGAACTCTTCGATCATTTTAAAATGAAGAAAATCTTGAATCCTTGTTATCATAACAAAATTAACAATCATGACGTATTCAAGTTTAAATATCTTTAAAGTTGGTAGAGAATCCGCTATGTGATTTCTGCTCATTATTGCCATGCTGAATTATGGTTTTACACACTAAGTGAATTAACACCTCCGCCAAATCATTGATGTCAAAACATCATCTGGCAAAAATATAAATATGCACACAAAATGATAATGCAGTTACAACAGGGTAACGGTACAGCTACTTAATGATACTGCCGTTAATCCTCTAATTATCTGACGTCCAGCCGACACCTGTATAAACACAATGAGCATGTGGACCGCAGCCTGTGCCTCGAGACATGTCGACAGCAGTGCTGGTACCTGTGATACACAGGTAAACTATCCGTCGGGTGTGACAGAATAGATAGGTTAATACTATGACCTTGAAGAGTTGGGGACAAATTATTGTTCGAGGAATAACAGTTTGACTAATTCAGGGTTACTTTACAAAAAATATGTACGAACTCGGTCGGGACCAAACGAACTGTTCAAGGAAGTGGGGATTTGACGGTATGACAATCTCAATAACGCAATTTCTGTAGCCAGATAATTTTTCTCATTTTATCACATGTCAATATCAATAGCTCCAATTTCTGTAGCCAGATCATTTATTTCCTTATCCAAGTTCTTACATTTCAACTTGTTGTGTTTTTTATTTGTTTTCAGCCATTATACTGTTACCATTAACTGATTAGACTTCAAGAGGAATAGAACAACAAACACCTTTACATACAAGGATAGGAATATCAAACACCTTTACATACAAGGATAGGAATATCAAACACCTTTACATACAAGGATAGGAATATCAAACACCTTTACATACAAGGATAGGAATATCAAACACCTTTACATACAAGGATAGGAATATCAAACACCTTTACATACAAGGATAGGAATATCAAACACCTTTACATACAAGGATAGGAATATCAAACACCTTTACATACAAGGATAGGAATATCAAACACCTTTACATACAAGGATAGGAATATCAAACACCTTTACATACAAGGATAGGAATATCAAACACCTTTACATACAAGGATAGGAATATCAAACACCTTTACATACAAGGATAGGAATATCAAACACCTTTACATACAAGGATAGGAATATCAAACACCTTTACATACAAGGATAGGAATATCAAACACCTTTACATACAAGGATAGGAATATCAAACACCTTTACATACAAGGATAGGAATATCAAACACCTTTACATACAAGGATAGGAATATCAAACACCTTTACATACAAGGATAGGAATATCAAACACCTTTACATACAAGGATAGGAATATCAAACACCTTTACATACAAGGATAGGAATATCAAACACCTTTACATACAAGGATAGGAATATCAAACACCTTTACATACAAGGATAGGAATATCAAACACCTTTACATACAAGGATAGGAATATCAAACACCTTTACATACAAGGATAGGAATATCAAACACCTTTACATACAAGGATAGGAATATCAAACACCTTTACATACAAGGATAGGAATATCAAACACCTTTACATACAAGGATAGGAATATCAAACACCTTTACATACAAGGATAGGAATATCAAACACCTTTACATACAAGGATAGGAATATCAAACACCTTTACATACAAGGATAGGAATATCAAACACCTTTACATACAAGGATAGGAATATCAAACACCTTTACATACAAGGATAGGAATATCAAACACCTTTACATACAAGGATAGGAATATCAAACACCTTTACATACAAGGATAGGAATATCAAACACCTTTACATACAAGGATAGGAATATCAAACACCTTTACATACAAGGATAGGAATATCAAACACCTTTACATACAAGGATAGGAATATCAAACACCTTTACATACAAGGATAGGAATATCAAACACCTTTACATACAAGGATAGGAATATCAAACACCTTTACATACAAGGATAGGAATATCAAACACCTTTACATACAAGGATAGGAATATCAAACACCTTTACATACAAGGATAGGAATATCAAACACCTTTACATACAAGGATAGGAATATCAAACACCTTTACATACAAGGATAGGAATATCAAACACCTTTACATACAAGGATAGGAATATCAAACACCTTTACATACAAGGATAGGAATATCAAACACCTTTACATACAAGGATAGGAATATCAAACACCTTTACATACAAGGATAGGAATATCAAACACCTTTACATACAAGGATAGGAATATCAAACACCTTTACATACAAGGATAGGAATATCAAACACCTTTACATACAAGGATAGGAATATCAAACACCTTTACATACAAGGATAGGAATATCAAACACCTTTACATACAAGGATAGGAATATCAAACACCTTTACATACAAGGATAGGAATATCAAACACCTTTACATACAAGGATAGGAATATCAAACACCTTTACATACAAGGATAGGAATATCAAACACCTTTACATACAAGGATAGGAATATCAAACACCTTTACATACAAGGATAGGAATATCAAACACCTTTACATACAAGGATAGGAATATCAAACACCTTTACATACAAGGATAGGAATATCAAACACCTTTACATACAAGGATAGGAATATCAAACACCTTTACATACAAGGATAGGAATATCAAACACCTTTACATACAAGGATAGGAATATCAAACACCTTTACATACAAGGATAGGAATATCAAACACCTTTACATACAAGGATAGGAATATCAAACACCTTTACATACAAGGATAGGAATATCAAACACCTTTACATACAAGGATAGGAATATCAAACACCTTTACATACAAGGATAGGAATATCAAACACCTTTACATACAAGGATAGGAATATCAAACACCTTTACATACAAGGATAGGAATATCAAACACCTTTACATACAAGGATAGGAATATCAAACACCTTTACATACAAGGATAGGAATATCAAACACCTTTACATACAAGGATAGGAATATCAAACACCTTTACATACAAGGATAGGAATATCAAACACCTTTACATACAAGGATAGGAATATCAAACACCTTTACATACAAGGATAGGAATATCAAACACCTTTACATACAAGGATAGGAATATCAAACACCTTTACATACAAGGATAGGAATATCAAACACCTTTACATACAAGGATAGGAATATCAAACACCTTTACATACAAGGATAGGAATATCAAACACCTTTACATACAAGGATAGGAATATCAAACACCTTTACATACAAGGATAGGAATATCAAACACCTTTACATACAAGGATAGGAATATCAAACACCTTTACATACAAGGATAGGAATATCAAACACCTTTACATACAAGGATAGGAATATCAAACACCTTTACATACAAGGATAGGAATATCAAACACCTTTACATACAAGGATAGGAATATCAAACACCTTTACATACAAGGATAGGAATATCAAACACCTTTACATACAAGGATAGGAATATCAAACACCTTTACATACAAGGATAGGAATATCAAACACCTTTACATACAAGGATAGGAATATCAAACACCTTTACATACAAGGATAGGAATATCAAACACCTTTACATACAAGGATAGGAATATCAAACACCTTTACATACAAGGATAGGAATATCAAACACCTTTACATACAAGGATAGGAATATCAAACACCTTTACATACAAGGATAGGAATATCAAACACCTTTACATACAAGGATAGGAATATCAAACACCTTTACATACAAGGATAGGAATATCAAACACCTTTACATACAAGGATAGGAATATCAAACACCTTTAAACATACAAGGATAGGAATATCAAACACCTTTAAACATACAAGGATAGGAATATCAAACACCTTTAAACTTTTGAAAAAAAATGACAACTGAAACTTCTATATTACACTCTTAAATATCAGTAAAACAAAAACGTTTGTCTTATAAACATAAATTTAGAACTATCATTTATTCAAGCGTTCTTTGATATTAAATCTTTCAAATAGATTTTGGAGAATAAAGATCTGATTTCAGTCTACCGGGCAAAATCAACAAGTGTAAATTCTACATTGTACATACCTATCAATGGAAGCCGATCATCGTCCAGATAAATACGAGCATGGCCGTCCTATTAAACAGAGAACAAATCATGTGTGATCTTTAATCTGTCCTACAACTGTGGACAGAGACAACCAATTAAGTTAAATCTATCATCAGACCATGGCCGAAAAAGATAACTAATGAAAACTTATTTGCTCAGTGTTCGATTATTTTTCACATTAATTGAAATTAAATCTCGAACTGTATTTCAGACAACAGGGAATTCCCCCTCTTATGTTCAACAATGAAAAGGGCAAAGTAAAATGGAAAGAAAATTGCTGTTTTACGATAACTAAAACTTGACGGACAGATGAATAGAGGTTTAGGCCCAGACATAAATCTGCTCTCATTATGTTTTTAACCTAAATATATAGATACATGTCATAATATTGCCTTTTATGTAAAATATGCCCCCTCAATCAATGACAAAAGAGATAATAACAAGGCATCACAAGCAATACAAATCCCCTCACATTCACACATTGCGACATATGTAAGAGGAAATGAAGTCGCTAGAGCGATGACAACGTTTTTCAAAAAATAGTAAAAGTGTCCCTGACCTTTAACGCAGTAACCCGAAATGCGAACTTGTTCAAGATATTGCCATACCAAACAGTTGTACCAAGTTTCATGAAATTCTGCTGAGGAATAACGTCGGTAGATCGATGACAAAGTTTTTCTAAAAATAGTAACAGTGACCTTGACCTCCAACGTAGAAACCCGAAACGTGAATTTGTTCAAGGTATTGTCATACTACACACCTGTATGAAGTTTCATGAAATTCCATTGAGGAATGAAGTCGCTAGAGCGATGACAAAGAGTGTAACATACTTATTACATATGTACGTACGGGCGGAATCCTATATCCCCTTGAACTTTCGTTGCGAGGGGATAATAAAAACAATTTTTATTTAATATTATCTGTCTTGGTAAGTTACCAAGGAGAATGTTACCTTTTGGAATCTAACACTCTGTATAACTTTTGTCTAACTTACCCTGACAAGGAATGAAGCATAGAAGACATTTTCAACAGTCTGACCGAAGGAATCTGGGTTTAGCACAAACTCAAAGTAGCAAATAGGCTGATCTGTAAAATAACAAATGTTATCATTTTATGGATACATGATCAATAGAATCTCTCACCCCCCTTGGGGGTGGTATAGGGGAATCTCAACCTGAGTTTGAAGACTCTTATGTTGCCAAACACGAAGCTTTGCCGAGTGTTTGGCAACTTAAGAATCTTTCCCCGTGGGTTGAGATTCCCCTATCTTACCCACAAATGGGTGAATGATTCTTTTTCTCTTAACCTGTTTTCCCCAATGTGTATCATATTATACACAATGTAATGATAACGTTACATGCTAAATTCAGGGTTGACGTGACGTTGATGGATTGTTGACGTAACGTCATTGTATTGTTGAAGTGACGTCATACCATTGTTATAAATAGGGGAATTCCCCCGTCTCAACCCTAGAGTGAGACAAGGAAATTTCACACCGGTAAAAGTGCGCATACACCTGTCCAGGGTAAGAGAAGGCATCTTCCGATATGACTGGGAGTCTTCGGGGGCATCAAAACAGCCATCTCCCATTTTGACACGGAAATCTCGTGACATTGATCTGACTATCATAATGAATTTCCATTACCTCTTTTGTCACCCCAAATTTGAGATAATTATGTGTAATAGATAGTGGACATATCATCAGAATTATTTGACACTTGTAGCCGAAATTAAACACATCTTCCTGATGCAGATAAGGAACCAAGATCAGGAAAACACAACAATTATCCTCAAGCATTTTTAAGCATTATTTATGTCTTGTAAGCTTTATAAGCGATTCCCTCCGACATGACAGTATATGTACTTGGCATAAGATTTAATTGAAACTTACCTCGAAATCGTCAGCATAATAACATGAATAGGTTTAATTAACTATAACTGACTGTTAAAATATATCGGTATGTTATTTCACGGAATTAGATTTAAGTCCGTGGTAATTTCTATTATCTATAATAAAAACTAGAAAAAGCCTGTAAGACATGAATGCCCCCATACAACTTTAATCACTGGATGGGACAGACATTGGCAACACTATATGCCCCCCATTTTACGGCGAGGGCATACAAAACCAGATAAGTGGAATAGTGTCAACTCCTGTTACCTACATTTATCATAAGATCTTGACTGATTTGTGTAATGAATAATGTTCAACTTATATGATTAGTAGAATAACTGTCACATAGGTTGGCTGTCATATTTGTCGGTTAATAAATTACGGTAATATTTGTATTGCTTTTGCTCATATCTCCATGATATCTTATTTATTGCAAAACTACTCCATTGCTTTAAAGAGTTTTTGGTTGTTAAAGATGTTAAAAACATCCATGGTGTTCTTTTCCCTAAAATATTTATTCAAAACATTTATTAAAGAAAAGACTTTGTGCTGTGATGCTGTGAAAAAATCTCCCGACTTTAAATCCCATCGACCTACTTCAAAACACAAATCTCCCTACTAGGTGTTCCGAAGGCATTGCATGTATGGTAATCTTCAGCAACTTGAAGGAAACTACCTGTGTAGTTGATTGGAAAAAAAAGAAACGATGCTACGGAAAAATATCCCTACTTAAAATCCAATCTCCCTATTTGGTGTTCCAAAGGAATGATATGTAGGGTAGTCAAACCTCGGTAGTTAATTAGATTTAGACATTCTAGTCCTGGTACAATGGTAGGCTCACAATAAAGTACCTCCCCCCC